ATAAATCCAGTGCAGCTCCAAAGTTCTTTTTTTTAAGAAGAGAGAATTAAAGTGGCAGCTGAGCAGCAGGCCTCAAATGCAAGAATCTTAACTTGCATGAAATCCAGCAATTGTCTCGGCACGTGTGTAACTTTGGGTGTGAAACTGTGTGTACAGAGGGGAAAAAATCTGGCTTCTCTCTGCTTCGCTGGCATTTAGGGGCCATGACACCACCAGAGTCAGTCCAAAAGGCTGTCAAATAGCAGCTGCATGGAAGACAACAAGAAGTGGGAGATGATGCTAAGGCATGACCCATGCTCACTTAGTGATCCAATGATTTCTTGTTGTGCTGTTGACCCATGTGTTTCTTCTCTGACTGTTACTATTTTACCCAAACATGTCTCCTTTTTTGCGCATCAGACAGATCATGAGGACTTTACCCAAGTGAACACAGTGTCCAATGCCAGATTCCTAGTAAGATGACACTTCATTGCACTAAGTGGTGATGGTTCCTTGGCCGAGTTGCACACAGTTGATTACCAGTGATGACTCATTCCATTACTGAGGAGGAAATAAATTTGGCTGTTGGACAGGCCCTTGGTCAGAATACAGTCTAGGGAGACATTTAATACACATGCAGAATCTTTGCACAGGGGCTGGCTTACAGAGGACAGATAATGCTGTTCACATCCCTAGTCTCTAGTGACAACATGGAGTGTTCACATGGAGTGCATAGAGAGACGGGAGCCTTCAGTCACTGTCAGATCTTTTCCCACAGTACTTAATGGCTGAGTCACAACTAGATCAGGCCTACTGTAACAGGATTTGATGAGTCAACTCATAAGTTCCATAGATTCAGTGGGCCTACTCTAGTTGTGACTTCTAAAACTAACCAACAAGATTTCAGCCAGTGGACACACAAAGGTGTTTTCTGATGAGTCAGAACTATGCTCCAACATTATTTACACTATTAATGGGGAACATCTTCTTTCAGAAGTCTTTTGACAAGGATGCTAGAGAGGGCCTTTTTTGTGGCTGTTCCCAGCTGAGAGGAGACAGGGAGCTGTCACTGCGAAGAAGATTGATGGGAATTAAAATGAAGGCTGTGGTGGGAGCCATGACACACCACAAAAGAAAAACCTGACAATTTTGACTGGCTAATTTAAGAATTCCTAACTCTGATAGAAGTTAGGGTAGATAATGAAGGTGTGGCATAGCTAATTTTTTGGCCAGCCATAGTTCCAAGGACTCATCTCAGAGATAGGTATTCTTTAAGAAGCCAACCCCAAAGGGGCCAAGTTAGGGGGCAACACAGAGCAGCAGGAGCCCTTTGGGTCAACAGCTGTTATCTTCTCTTCCATGGTGTACAGTGGGTATCAACACTGCCTTCGTATTCATCCTTGTCCATATTCTGACAGGTGAGCAGAAACACATGACATGTTCAATTGTTTTCTTAACATGACATTTAGGATTTTTAATACTGTTGTTTTTAATATACTTTTAGTTTTAGTCACCTTGGGTCCTCTGTGGATGGATGGATGGATGGATGGATGGATGGATGGATGGATGGATGGATGGATGGATGGATGGATGGATGGATGGATGGATAAATAAATAAACAAACAAACAAACCCATCCATCCATCCATTCCATGCAGCTGATTATGTGTAGAACAGATGGCAATATTGGAACAGAGTCTGAGTTAATCTATGTGACAGAGTTGGCATATTATTAGAAACTGAGCTAACTTAAGAGGTAAAAGATGTTTGCTTATATCAGCATGAGCTTTCCCCATCTCACATCTTGCAAATTAACGTGCCTTTGTTTATTTGTTTTGAGATCAGTCATGGCCACTGAGAGGTAAGCAGAGGCTTCCTTTGTAGGTTGACTACTTAGCAGGAATCACATCCCTGGCTGACTGTGCTGTAACATTTGACCCTTATCTCTGGATTTTTCCCTGTAGGTGCAGTGGTGTTTAATGCTGAGTTGTGCTTAAAGTGAAACAATCATGGTGTATGAAATTGCTGAGGGCTATGTGGATGGAATTCTGAAAAATAATGCATCCAGTTGCCCTTTAGCTTGGGGTTTTTTAACCTGTTTCTGCGCCTGTGCTTTTATCAGCATTCTGATCCACAGATATTAATAGGCGACGGTTCTGTGCAAACCTTTACCTGCTGCTTCCTGCAGATCAAGCTGTTACCAAAGGTGCAAGAACAGATCCAGAAGTTTTGTTTTGTTTTTCTGGTTTCTTGGCTGGTCTACATAGTAACCAAGGACATGGTGCAAGCAGGATCTGCAAGAAAATGTTGGCGTATCAGATGTAGGTATGGCACAAGTATTTACAATTTTGTTTGCATCAGCTTTCAGAGTCTTACCCTGCTGAGACTTCCTGCTAGGTAGTCAACCTGAGTCTTTCCCCAGCATGCTTCTGGTGAAAACAAGACCCTAATCTCATTTTTATTTCTTACTTCCTTTTTATTTCCATCCATCTTTCATCTTTTGTTCTGTGCAGTGGCTTTAAAAACCTGTGCTGCTTAAGAGGCCACAAAACATTCAAGAAATCTGTCCATGTATGGTTTGACCCTTATCTCTGGATTTTCCCTGGAGGTGCAGTGGCATTTATTGCAGTTGAGTTGGTACATCTTTCCAGAAAAACGAGGAAATTGCTGCTGGGTCACCAGCAGTGGTCCCAACCCAGCAGCAATTTTCTGATTTTAAAGGTACCCCTCCCTGCCCTGTGTCTCCTAGAGCAGTGGCTTCCAACTTTGGATAACCCAGGTATTTTTGGACTGCAACTCCCAGAAACCCCAGCCAGCATAGCTGGTGGTGAAGGACCTCTAAGGTATGCAGTCCACCCACACCTAGATTCCCAAGGTTTGGAATCATTGCCCTAGAGCAGGGGTCCCCAATCCCTGGTCTGCGGGCTTCCTAGGACTGGGCTGCAGAGACAGATCTCCGCCCCCCCCCCTGCACACACAGTCGGTGTGTCACGGGGCAGGCATGTCGAGCTTGCAGGTGGGTGTGTCGCACTCGTGGGGTCATGTCACGAGCATGACACGCCCATCCATGACACTCCCCCCCGTGCACAAAGCCCACCCCTCCCGACCAGTCCATGGTTCCAAAAAGGTTGGGGACCGCTGTCCTAGAGGCTTCCTTGTGGGTAGAGCCCTAGGGAGCTTCAGAACCTGAAGTGGGTGGAGGAATTGGAAATTTTAGATTTAATTTTAAAAAAATTTAAAATGAATGGTAAAGATATCACCACCATTGTGCCGCCTGGATTTCAGTCAATATATTTAAAATAGTGTACAAATATAGTTCTTTCTCTTTGTGTTTTATATTTAAAACATTAGTTTTTGAAATACTTGTTACTGTTGAAATCACAATATTTATGTGAGTAGAATCTATAGTGTACCACTCTTTTTGACCCTGCAGTAGTTTAGAATTTGGAATCCTTAAGGACTTTTTAAAATATATAATCAAACAACTTGATTGAAAATGTAATTTTATGGACTTTTTTTAAAAAAAGCAATGTAAATGCCTGAAATAAAAGATGGCCCAATTTACACCAAAGCAAAATCAGACAGAATCTTCACTTGAGAGGGCTGCATCAGCTTGAAAATCTTGTTTTTTGGGGACTAACTCTCCCAGAATCCTCCAACCTGGCTGTCTGCTGCCCATGATGGCTAATGGATTCTGGGAGTTATATACCAAAAAGCCACTTGCCCAGCCTCTCTGTCACATTAGTCCACTGGGCACAATTATATGGCCTCCTCTCGGAGAGCAACACTTGCCAGAAATTGCTAATCCCACATTCTCAACAAACAGAACCAAAAGCTTACGTGTCCAATGCCTAGCCTTTGAACTTCTGCTCAGAACACCCAGTAAAGACAATTTAAGCTTCCCCATGGGAACAGAATGAAGGCATGGGGAAAAGGACAAAGCTAGTCTCTAGCAAGTGTTTATAGACAGAAGCTTCTCAGTCACCTCTGGTGCCTATCATTTCTAACAAAACTCTAACTTCTGGTGTCTACCATTTCTAGCAAAACTCTGGGCACAGGGCACAAGCATTGATGCATGACAAAACCTTTGGTACAAACACTTCACTTTCTTATCTCCCGCGTCGCTTACTGCCATTCCAATATGTGGCCAATTTTTAATTCATTGAAAGTCTGCAGGCTTCCATTGCATATAGCACTCAGCAACTGGACACCTCATCACCATCACTATTACTCCCACGCCATCATAAGGTATCTCCATCAATCCTGAGCATAGGATTTACTCCAAACCATGGTGGACATTTTTAATTCAAGGGTACTATTATTATGTGTTTTTAAATGAGTAAGTGGAAAGGTATAGGGACAGGTGCTTTGATCCAACATGAAAGCTGTACATAGCTGATCATTGTTACGAACAGTGGCAGAGAACAGTCCACTGCTATCAACAGTTGGTATATAAGCAAAATTAGGAGTTTATGACAGTTAATTATCTCTCACTAAAATCAAAGACATTTGTAAATGCTGCTCATTGGCGGTACAGTTAATTAATTTTAGACTTGGTCTTAATGGACTTATCAGGTGGGAGCTCTTTAGAGCAGAGTGGTGAACTCTTGGCAGGCCAGATGTTTTAGATTATGATTCCCACAGTTTTTATCATTGGTTTTGATGGCAGTTCCAGGTGGGGCTCCCATCAGGAGTGCAATGTACTCCTTACCACATTGGTCTTTCATCTAATCCAGCAGGCCTTTTCCCTTGTTCTCTTATGTTGTTGTGTCACAAAAATCATAAGAAAGATGGATGTGTGAGCAGATTCTTCTCTCTCTAGCACTGCAGCTGAAATGTTAAATAAAGGAAACTAGTCATTTCAAAACCACCTTGCACAGTTCTTTCAACAGATAGTCCCAGTTTCAAAGCTGACACAGACACACATGCACTGGCATACAACGCTGACAATGGTATTACTAGATAGTTGAAGTGGTGACACTTCTGGATACTGCTCCTTAAGGAAATATGTCTGCAGGGCCTGCCATCTTTGTGTTGGAATTAAGTCAAACTAAGGGGCTTCCAGTCTTTCTCTGGAGTAGCATATTTAGGACTTCTTGCTCACGAAAGCCATTCAATTTAGAAGGGCAGCAGTTTAGAGAAGAACACGTCTACTTGAGTTTCACAGACTTCATTCTCAGACTGAGTTTCAGTCTCATTCTCCATCGGCTCGGCTGCTCTGACTCTTGACTCTCCACCCGTGCTCATCATCTTTACAAATCAGGAAGTGGAATGTACTGTGGTCTGGGGCTTTTCACGCTGTTGGCCTTGAGCACCCAATTGATAGTTCAGGGCCCCCTTTCACTCTGACACGGCAACAGAGCTGCTGCTTCCTGTGAAGGTAAATGTGAAGAGTGAGCAAGCAAGAGGACTGACTTGTTGATTTGCCCAGACTGGTTCTTCTCCAATGCTGTCAACTATCTATTATGGCCAGCAGTCCTGCAGTTATAAACAAAATTTAAGACCAGCAGCTATGGTCATGAAGTGCTCCGAATGGCCTGAAGCAACATCACAACGCCAACATATGTGACTAGGAGACAAGAAAGAACCATGATTCAGCCAGGTAAAACATATATGCATTCCATTGTTCTCGTCCATGGTTCTAGTTCAAAGTTAAGAGAAAAACTTGTTGACAAACATCAACTGTGTCTGATAACTGACGGGTGACTATGAAGGCTTGTTTACTTACTACGGTGATGCATTAGAGAAGCCCAGTCTTGCAGTTCCTCCTCCCCTTCATAGTTCTTACAGGTACAACAGACCTATGTGGGCTAAGATAAGGAGTCTTCTGTCCTGGTACAATTGGATGTGGAGGAGCCCATGCAAATATAAATCCTAAGCAAACATCTTAGGAAGCCGTACTGAACTCAGTAACTTGGATCCAGATTTCTATAAAATTGTTCTTACATGTTGTCAAGTTGCTTCTGACTTGGGTCAGCTCCATGAGCTAATACATGCTGTCAAGTTGCTTCTGACTTGTGTCAGCTCCATGAGCTAGTGCCCTCTGAAGGGGTCATTAGCTCAGGTCTTACAAACAAGAGGCTGTGGATTTTTTTAAGCTAGACCATCTCGTGTTGGGTGTTCTTCTTTTCCTACTGCATTCCACTGCATTCCCAGCACAACTGTCTTTCTCAGTGGATCTTATTGTCTTGTGACATGTCCGAAGTACATTGTCTTTGTTTATTTTCACTTCTAAAGAGAGTTCTTTAAAGTAGACCAACTGAAATCAGTGATATTTAAATCAGCCACACCAACTGTACTAGTTATTTCTGGGGCTTACTCTAAGGATGGCTAAGTCTGAATCCAACCAAGTGCAATGCATGATAATATCTGAAAACAATTCCCATTGTAATTTGTCTTATTCCACAGAGGTGGGAGGATTAGACCAGATTATTTTTTAAAATCATCCCTTTATATGGGTTCAAAGTCTTTAATCCCAAAGATCTTTACAGGGACAGCTCATGCTCTGAGGAAGAGTCTATCTACACCCTGCAATTTTGGGGTGAACTTATTGCCCCCACTCAGACTCTTGTAAATAAATGTGGGTAGGATTCCAGCCTTAGACAAATTCATTTTAAAAATGTATCTATCAATGACTAGAAGCCTATGCAAAGCAGAAATGGATAAATAGTGTATTTCAATGATTTTAATACAGTGTTTCCCTGAAAATAAGACAGGGTCTTATATTAATTTTTGCTCCAAAAACACATTAGTGCTTATTTTCAGGAGATGTTTTATTTTTTTTCATGTACAACCATCTACAGTACATTTATTCAAATACAGTCATGTCATCTTCTGGCTGCTGCACAATGGTGGAGGGTGGGCTTTCACTTAACTGGGGCTTATTTTTGGGGTAGGGCTTACATTATGAGCATCCTGAAAAATCATACTAGGGTATATTTTCAGGTTAGGTCTTATTTTCAGGGAAACAGGGTAGGAAAATCTTTATAAATTCAATGGGATGAATTTGAATTGTGTGTCTGTGTTGTTTTTTTAATCAAACTTCGGAGAAAGGGAGACTTACTAATTTGCCCTTACAAGCACAGGATCCTGACAGAAGGTTTTGAGCTAATATCTCTTAAAAACCCATGTTTGAATCTTTTTTGTATTTAATCATGTTTGCTCTGCTAAAGTAAGATTGCCACTTCTTTTTCTTTTATAGGCTTCTGTCATTCTCCCTTTTAAGATCTACTGAAGAACCTGTTCAGAGCTTGCAAATATGATGATGACTTTTTTTTGGATCACAATTGTCAGAGTCCCCCTGCCTCCTGCCATTATGGACCATGTTGGCTGGTAGATACTGACTACAGTCCAAAAAACCCACCATAACATTTTCAAGCTCTGAAGCAGTGACAACATACTTTTCTCCATAGTGGTAATGGTCATATTTTTCTAGTTTTGTCAGTTTGTCTGGTCAGCTGAGAACTTCATTTCATTCACTTTTGAAAAGAATTTCCCAGGGTTTGCACATTTCTTTTAAGAAAATGAAAAGAATTTGAAATTAAAAGAATCCAGCGAGGGGAAAAATTAAAATGAAAGAAATGCTAATCTCAAACATGTTAATCCTACACATGTGGGGACAAAGGGCATAGATCCAGGCATCACCCACATTGTCACTTTCCTTCCTTGTCTCAAGCTTGCTGTATCGAGGGCTTCCACTCACATAAGGTTACTGATCACAAGGAAATTTTGGAAAGTTGGTGGTTTTTTTTAATTGAGCATGAGAAAGTCTGTCAATGACTTACTGTCCTTCACCAGTCATAGCCCATAATTAGAGTGGAAAGCACTTTAAAGTTGAAAAAAAAAATGACAAGGGCACTATTTTTTCCCCACTGTTGTGAAATCAGATTTCAAAGGAATCCAATGTTTACATCAAGACCAATAATCAAACAAAGCAAGTTTATTTGCATGCTCTTGGAAGGATAAGAAGCTATGACACTCAAGATACTTTCAATAGTTAAGGTTGTTTTTCCCCTCTTCTAACCATAGACTATTTCTAACATCTGCTTGTGACCTCAACCCAACCTACCTTACTACACCATTACGAGGAGAAGGAAGAAAGCCTTTTATTTCTCTTTGTACTCATTGACAGGATATAAATATAACTAATAAAAAATGCAAGCCATTTAAGCCAGGATACTAGTACCACAGGATGGAATTTTTCTAGTCTTAGAAATCAGGTAGTCTCAGAAAGCCATTCTTCTACACTTGCTTACTATAAAGCTCCCAGATCAAGTGTATTCCTCCGGTCCGGTGGTCAACAAGTTATCAAGGGCCACTGCAATTCTGTGCTACTAGCCAGCTATTTTAAAGCCCTAAAACCCTCAAGCTTCTTAATATTAAGTACACAAACAAACAATGATACATCAAACATGCAAAATGTGATGTTTGCAGAGGCTCTGCATTCCTCGTATGACACAGCCATGCCATGAAGAGGCTGAGGGAAGGGACGTCCCTCATGGTCTGTGGCTCCAGTCAGTTTTGGACTGGGGCCCCAAATCCAAATGAGAAAACAGCTGTGTTGATCCATGATGGGATGTCACAGTTCACATTAGTCCCTATCCCTGAAAGTGCCAAAGAAGTGGTTCTGAATGAGATATTTAGTGTTTGAAATGAAGTTCTGCTACCTAAACTCACCCTCACTGGTGCAAAGAAGCATTCACAGACAGCATTTACTGTGAAATCTTCCACCGAGAGTTTAAACGTTGGTATGGCTGCTGAGTGTATAAAAACTGAGAAATGTACCCCGAAAGTGAGATGAAACAAACAGCTGCACAGAGTCTATTAAGGAGTATCTCCCAATAAGCTTCTCTCAGGAGAATACCTCATCCACAATAACTTACAATCATCTACCTCTGCTTTGTGTGAATCGTTTACATGTGTGGCCTCTATAATAGCGGCCATTCTGTGGGAAAGTAGCATCATTTGGATGTTTTTTACACAGATAACAAGCTGGCCAATCCAACCATGTGGCTGCCCTTGAGGCAAAGGACAAGATGGTGCCCATTGTTCGTGACAAAAGGACATCTTCTGCCAAAGCTGGGAAAACAAAAAGAAGGTGGTGGCTAGTAGTTAGGACTCCATTCTGATTGTTTCCTTTTCCTTCTTGGTTATTTCATTCAGCAGTCATGAAGACCAGCCTCCCACTGTTGTTTTACATCCTAGCACACTCAGTGGCATCAGGGCTGAGCCAGGGTAAGTTTTCTTCTTCCACATATTACACCATCAGCATTGAAATTATTTTGTCAAGGGAAGAGCTGGCTGAGAAGCACTTGGTAACATGTGTAGCTTTCAGACAGAGAAGTACAAGAGTTTTCAAAAGCCTATCAAGAACATATCTCAAAGCATAGAAATGTTAATTTTTGCATCTTACCCGGGAGCTGCACTCCAAAAGACAAAATTTTCCAAGGTCTGGGAACTCCGTAAGGAGAAATTAGTAATGCTGGGAAAAGTTTCCATGTAAGAGCCACTGCCAAATGCTACTGGCTGCACAAGAGAGTTAGATGGGTCTTGTTCTATTAAGGTGGCCACTTTCTCCATCCTTGACTCAGAGGGCCTTTAAGAAAAGTGGCTAGATACACTGTCTGTGTTTGCAGCATAGGGGATTTTTCTGGTTATCCCATCCACCAGAGCCAGGCACTGAGAAAGTTCTAGACCCACTGGGCCATGGAACTTACTTGATGATCTTTGGTCAGATATACTCACCCCAATTTATCTCACATGGTTAATTTGAGGATAATGTTAGAAGGAAAATTGCCTTGAATTCATTGTTACTTTTTTTTTGGACTGCAAGCCCCTGCATTGCCCCAGCAAGTATGACCAGGAGTTGTAGTCCAAGTAGTAGCTTTTCTAAGCTCTGGGTCCCAGAGGTTGCACTATCATAAAATATGTGGAGATGTCCCATTCATTACGGAGATGTCCCATTGCTTTGTGCTAATGTGAAAGCCACCTTTTGCTCCCGAAGCAGCACTGTTGTTGTTTTGACTTATGTACCACCCCATAGTGCTAAAGCACTCTCTGGATGGTTTGCAACATAATTATACAAACAAAAACTCTCCCCAAGCCCCACCCCAGCAAGCTGGGTACTCATTCTACTGACCTTGGAAGGATGGAAATTCAACTCAGCCTTGAGCCTGAACCTATCAGGATCAAAATCAGTTCATGGACAGAGGTTTGACTTCAGTACTGCTCATCCCAGCCCTTTTTCATGTAGTTCTGAATGAAATACCATGATGTAGCCTTTCACCTTCCCTTAACAGGTAATTCAAACTTAGCTTGCTTATATGATTCAGTGGAAACGCTTTCTTGTGTTTGGACTCCCGCTGCAAACACCACAGATGCACCTTGCAACCTCACAGCTTCTGTTCCATTTAGGTGAGTAATTAATGAAATGTGATTTTCTGCCTTGTTAGTTTCTCAGTACTGCTGCCTTGCCTTCAGCGGCCTGAGATGTATGCAAACTATTTGTCAAAATGAAGGATCATACATTATCCTTCCTCTAAGATTTTCATTGTCAAAGAGATAAATGGGATGTTTGTTTTTTATTGGTCTCACTGAATCTACCTGTATCCTGAGCAGTCCCACCTGTTTAGCCAAGATAAGAAAATTTGGGGGATAAACTCAGACAAACATTACTATTCACTGTCAACCTTTAGAAATGTTTTAGTAACATCTTGAGCAGCGATGTGAAGAATAGTCTCTCAATTTCTCATTCCTGCTAATTCAGGCTATCTTGACAGGATGAGACAATCCAATTACGAATTTTCAAATTCCACAAAATTTCTGCCCTTTAAAGCAAGAGCAAGACAAGGAGAGTGATCCCTCACCCTCAGGCTCTCCTCAATTTGGAGAGAATGTCCAAAACTAGTGCCTTTTTCTGCTTGTGAAGCAAGAGAGAGAGAGAGAGAGAGCCAGAGCAAGCAAAGTGGGATAAGCTGATTGACTGAAAAGGTAGAAGCAATTTATTCAATGCTCCTAGTTTTTAAAAGCTCATGCAACAAAACAGCAGCTAATGTTATTCTGCACAGTTTGTACAAAAGATGTTCTGCTAATGTGAGTACTGTCACTGAAAGCAGCAGAAAATATCTCACTCTTACACAGGTGGAGGAGAAATGTTTTTGATAGCATTTTGTCCACCATGCAAGGATGAGACAAGTCCAGATTTACATCCTTAATTCTGAGCATATATGCTCATACTCCCCCTCACCCCAGTGAAGACAAACACATCAGCCTTCAAGAATATCTCTAATCCTTTGGTGGGTTTGTCACACATGATATTTTATTGCTAGATGCTTGTGACAACCCACCATTGTTATGCATAATTAGAGTTTATCTGGAACTTTCAGAATCATACAACCACCAGAGGCCCCAAAAGTAATCTTTCCCATCTTTTGTTGATTCATGTATACAAGCAAGTCATGCTACAGACAATAAGTGATGATTATGCATGTGTCTGCATCATGAATTCCAAGGAAATGAAGTGGCATACTTGCAAATGAGAGTCCCTTGCTTCAACTGATGGACATCATTATTGCCACAGAATTCTAAACTGGTAAAGAAAGTCTCCCTGATTATTGCTCTTGTTTGCAACAAGAAGGGGTACCGTGAGGCTTCCTTGCTCAAAACAATTCCTGGAAGTTCAAATCTGATGACTGATATGCCAGCTATTGGCACTGATACAAAACAAGTAACTGGATTTGGATTTTCACTTAGAATACGGGACTGCAGCTTATTGGGTGCCAGGATGACAATATTGATGTAAATTTTGCACACATCATGTTTTTGGGGAACGCATGCAACAAATATATATTTGTAAATCCATGAATTGTACAGATTGGTGTGGACAAAGCAAGGCTCATGGGCCAAATTGAGTCTCCAGGGTTACTTCTGTGGCCTCTAAGGATTCCCCAACATACTCGCACACTGAACATTTTTTAAAATTTCTGAAACAGCCTTGACAAAAAACTGTCAGTTAGAACTCTTGAAGGCTTTCACCATTAGTGGAGTTTACATCAGAGGACTTGAAGGGTCCTAACCCTAAGGCTCACCCATCTGTAAAAGCAGAAGCATTTGTTTACACTTCTCCCCCCCCCAAAAAAAAGGCCAAAAGGAGGCCATATATGGCCACCAGGCCCTTTGAGAAAGACAGACCTATCAGGAACCTGGGATCAGCTGTGGCTCTGTGCTGAGTGTAAACCAAGTTACTCAGGCAGTGGGCGCACTGCCGTGTCCTATCTGAAATTGCTTCGCCATGCACTGTCTCAGGAATAATATTTCTGATGAGAAATATGTCTTACAGGGATTCCCCAGAGCTATGCCAGCTGTATGGTACAGGTAACAGGAGCTGTCTTCTGAAATTTGAGGTGAGTGATCTGATTAAAAATAATGGCTGGCTGAGATCCTGTGTTGTGCAGTGGATAATGCTTGACTAGGCATCAGGAGACCTGGATTCAAATCTCCTCTTGGTCAGGGAAACTTACAGGGGAGAATGACAAGGGTAAATCATTTCTTGAACATCTCATACACATCAAAAACCCTATTAAGGTTGCCAAAGGTCAGAAAATTCTTGATGGCGTGCCACAACTATGAAGGCATTCTGCTTTCTGTTTTCTTATGATTAGTGCAGTCTGAAAGTTAAAGCATTTGATAAAGTGTGCTCTTACAACAATAAACTGGTTATCCTTCCAGCTGCCATCAAGCTCTTTGTCTTTTGCTATGGTGAGTAAGATCTTTCATTTTTATGGGCATTTCTGACATAAAAATTGAAATCCTTACAATAGTACACTTTGCTTACTATTCGTGGTATGTAGTGAAACAGTGGTTATAAACAATGAACAGAGGTTAGACAAGTCACCTTTTGGACCAGAATTCCCCCAGCCAGCATGAGCATTTTTTCAAATATCACCATTATCATATTCCTATTTATTTTGGTTAATTTCATTTCATTTGGCAGGGAAGAAAAAGGGGCATTCCCCATTAAAATATTCTGTAGATATACCTATTTTACCACTCATGTAAAGCTGTTAGGATGTATTTTATTCATTTATCTGCTGTAACTGAAACAATCCTCAAGCCAGGTTTCGAACTGCAATTAATAATAATTAATAATAATTGTGTGTTATCTAGTTAACTCTGACTTATAGTAACTGAAACAATCCTCAAGCCAGGTTTCAGACTCTATGCATGCAATTAATAATAATACTGTGTGTTATCTAGTTAATTCTGACTTATGGTGACCTTTTTCAAGGTTTTCCAGGTAGGGAATATTCAGATGTGGTTAACCTTCCTCTGGGGGCACCCCGGGATTGTGCAGCTTGCCCAAAGCCACACCTCTGGCTTTATAGTCAAATACGTTACTTACTATGTTATCCAGTCAGCTCTCCATGCTATTACTATTACATAATGTTTAATTAAATAAAAATGGTCCTCAATAATATGTATTAAATTTACTACTTTTCTAGTCAAGTCTGCCATTTGTCCTCCTGCAATAAAAACACTCTGGTCCTGTTAAATATATTTACTGATAAAATTACGGTATTCATTCTGTTTGCTAATAGTGCTGTAAATATCTTAGTAGCTTGATTTAAAGAAACAGGCTTACAAATTAATATGATCAATGCATAGTTCCAAGAATTTCTTCTCCTTCAATAATTTTATTGAATAATGATATCAACTTTTGTATCAACACTTTTTAAACTTCTCAGTAGATGGCTTACCACTTTTATAAAGATTATAAATGAATTTATTAAACACTTCCAGTTTTCATGTCATTAAATTACTTTTTTTTAACCATTTTCATCTTTAACCATTCCAATTATGCTCTTAGAGGTTATTTTTTGCTTGTGCGGCTCTGGACAGCAGTCTAGCATTTTAATTGTTTAATTCAAAATATTCTCTTTTCCTATATATTAAATTCCTCTGAATCTTTTCCATTTCAATATCTTTTTCTTAGCTTGTATTTCTGATAAAATTTTAATATCTCTATATTTTATATAATTCATCTTCAACCCTCTTATTTCCTCTTCCAACTTTTTCATGTCTTTCCATTGCCTTTCTAAATTACAAGATCCTTTAATACTCAAAACTCTCATAAAATATTTTATTGTATCCCAAATTAAGTTTTCTTTGCTACCCTCCCTATCATTAATCCTCCATATTTCCACCAATTCTTTCTCCATTTTTCTACTATATATTTATGTTGTAACGTACATGTGTCTATCCTCCATCTCTTAGCTTCTTTATAACAACATGTAACTTTAAACTCCATATTTACCATGTTATTATTTACCAAAGCATGAATGTTCTTAGACAGGACAATTTAGTAAAGGGTTAGGTAGCAATGACAATGGTTAGCTTATTTGCAGATGATACATTTTTAACAATAGAGGATCCATTTAGCGTTATGGATCGGGTAAAATTATATCTGAAAGAATTTGAGGAGGTGATGGGTTTACATAGAAATTGGCAGAAGTCAGAGACAATGTTTAATTATGTTAAAGATGAAGAAAAAATTAGGAGGTTTGATATAAAAATGTTGAAAATATTAAGTATTTAAGTATAAATATTACAAAAATTATTACCGTATTTTTCGCACCATAAGACACACTTTTCCCCCACAAAACAGGGGGTTGGGAAGTCTGTGTGTCTTATGGAGCGATGAAAACAGATTATATTTTCCTGTTTTCTTCTCCTAAAAAATTGGTGCGTCTTATGGAAAGGTGCATCTTATGGAGCAAAAATACGGTATATTTAGAAAAAGAAAATGTTGATAAATTGAAGCAAGAAATTAAAGATGAATTAAAGGAATAAAGAAGGATAGTTGTCATGGTTTGGAAGGATAGCAATATATAAAATGAAGATAATATCTAAAAATGTATTTATGATGTCCCGGGTAGGTGGGGCTCGTCAGCCTTGGAAGACAGCCCATCTAGGAGAAGGAAAACTCTGATTTCAAACCTCCACTGCCTTGTGGCTATATCCACTGATGGAAAAGGCTTCAGGAGTTAACCTTGAGGCAAAATCCGGAGCCGGAGTCCCGGAGGCAGTTCGTGTCGTTCTGCCAACTCCTGCGACGTTGCTGGAACCAGTTGTATTGGCTCTTGCCTTTCCATTGGACTATTTCAGCGATGTGGAGAGGGGGGATTTGCTGCTTGGGTAACAGCCTATCCTCCATATTATTTCAGCTTCGTGCTCTGGAGAGGACACTCCTCGATTCAGAGCATGTTACCGTGGTCTCTTGAGACTGAAGGATGCCTATGCTAATTTATGATGTCACCAATAACGTCGGTACAGGAGGATCTGAAAGACTAACAAAATATAATTAATGCATTTTGCAATGGTGATAAAACAGCAAGGATTAATAAAAAATTAAGGTATACATATCAAAAATTTGGAGAGTTAGATTTACCTAATATAAAACTATAATACAGCCTACAACCTTGCTTTAAGGCATGGATTTAGTTATTCCTCGCAGACCAAGGCCCTGGTGTCCCAAACTGGACCTGCAGCACAGCTCCAGGACCTGGAAATCAAAGGCCTTTTTCTCTTAGCTGTTGTGTTTAGGTTTGGGAAAAAGGAATTTCCTCCACATTGGGAACTTGTAAATGGCCTAGACTGATAATCAGAGGAAGGAAATTTTAGGCATTAGATTTACAAATGTTTTCTCCCTGAGATTTATTATTATATATAATATAATATAATATAATATAATACTGTATAATATAATATAATACTGTATAATATAATATAATATCTAATGTTTTAATACACTTCATTATAATTTAAATGGCATCTACTCCTGAGGAAATGTAACCCAAGAGTTCTGGTACCTTTTATTTCAGGGGGAAAAAAGCATCAGTCATTAATAGTGTGATATTTCTCTTCAGAGAGCTGCTATGACCATCACAGACAGTGTTTCCTTGGATGTAATTTGCCATATTGGAGAGAAAATGAAGACTGTTGAAAAGCACAAGATGAAGCCTTTTAAGAATCGTGAGTTGAAAGCAATCGTGAGTTGTGAATATACTGTTAAGTAGCTCAGCAGATTGTGGAAAAACTTGACTTTTTCTAGCAAAAATGAAGAATCAGCTGTTGATTAAAGACTTCCTTTTTCACTTTCAGGATGTGCCCAATGCTTATGCAATGAGAAGATGTCACATGCATTCCAAAATTGAAAAGGGAAGTCTTTAATCAATTGCAATTTGCCACTGATGGTGACCTCATTCCCACTGCATGAATAGACGGAGCCCATCAGAATTTCATCCATAGTGCACACTTATTATGTATGAGCATATGCAAAATGATTTCTTTTTGGATACTCCTATTTTGGCAAAGTATAAGCAGTCTTCCTGAAACTATTAGCCTCACTTGATGGGGAAAGAGGTTACTAAATTATGCTTATCTCTTTCCTCCTGAAGAAGGTTCTTCACCATGGATGGGCAATTATGGGCTCCCTGAGAGGCCCAAATGTGATCCCATCCAGCACCCTGCTGGAGGTAGGTGCTAGTGGTAGAGGGGTGTGGTCCTGCAGGGGCAGATGCTGTCCTCACAGATCCAGGGATGGGCATGAGTGGTACACATGGACATCACCAGATGGGCAATACCGAAATCAGATTGATTATATTTTCTGAAGCTAAAGATGGAGAAGCTCTATACAGTCAGCAAAAAAAAGACCTGGAGCTGATTGTGGCTCTGATCATCAGCTTCTTATAGCAAAACTCAATCTTAAACTGAAGAAAGTAGGAAAAACCACTGGGCTAGTCAGGTATAATCTAAACCAAATCCTTTATGAATACACAGTGGAAGTGAAGAACAGATTTAAGGAGCTCAATTTGGTGGACAGAGTGCATGAAGGACTACGGGTGGAGGCTCGTAACATTGTACAGGAGGCAGCAACAAAAACATCCCAAAGAAAAGGAAATGCAAGAAAGCAAAGTGGCTGTCCAACGAGGCCTTACAAATAGCAGAGAAGAGAAGGGAAACAAAGTGCAAGGGAGACAGGGAGAGTTACAGAAAACTGAATGCAGAATTCTAAAGAATAGCAAGGAGAGAGAAGAGGGCTTTCTTAAATTAACAGTGCAAAGAAATAGAGGAAAATAACAGAAAGGGAAAAATCTGAGATCTGTTCAAGAAAACTGGGGGTATTAAGTGGAGTATGAAGTACGATACAAAATACACAATTCTGGTGAGGTGAGTACTGAAGGGATTTGATCGTTATTTTTGGCCCATTTGTCTGCCTTATGCTTCAAAAACATAGGAAAATACAAATTTCCTCTTGAGTACTTTATTTGTGAGTGAACATCAGAAGCTTTTTGATGTAATGGTTAAACTGCAGTACTGCAGTCAAGTGTCTACTTCCAACCTGAGTTTGATCTCAGCAGGCTATGTAGCCTGTTGGGCACAAAGTCAGGTTGAGTTAGCCTTCCATCCTTCTGAGGTAGGTAAATTGAGTACCCAGTTTGTGGGGTAGGGGATGTGTAACCTGTAGAATTAAATTGTAAATGGCCAGTGAGTGCTTTAAGCACCATGAGATGATGTATAAGTAACATACTTTGCTTTACTTTGCTTTAAACCTGTACATCATTTGCACGTTAGATGAGTGAGGCCTATTTCAGAGTTACTCCCATTTTGGGAGGGAAAGTAAATAAAATTTAAATCCCTTTAACATGTCACTTAGTCAGTCCTAACACAACTGACCAGGCTAACCATGGTGTGGATATGAGTAAGTGACATAGACCGTACAAATAATTGTTATTTAACATATGTGAAGGACTTACTGTTGGAGAAATAAGGGTTTAAAGTGTGGAAAAGGTCAAAATAATAACTTTCCCAAATTCTTTTTTGAAAAAAGATATAGAGTGACTGTCTGACCCCAAAATGAATCCAAAATCCATGGATCTGTTTTGCAGGCTGACAAAATCCTTCCCATTATTCAGGATCAGAAATGGCTAAAATTTGAGAATCTTTCTCCTGGCACAGCATATGAAGCAGCTGTTCGTGCAAAGGTCCGAAAGAATGATGACATTTACAATAGTACATGGAGCAACTGGAGCACACTAATGATATGGAAGACTGAGCCCGAAGGTAAGGCACATAGAAGAAAGCCAGTGTGGTTTTTTAGGAATGAGACAGGCTCCAAAGCTTCTATATTGGCACAGGTAGTTCACGCTGTCTCTGAGCATGTACACGGGTAGTCCATTTGCTGTCTCTGAGCACATTAAATAATATGTTCATAGTGAGTCATGGGAAGAAGTCTGATATGCAGAGTTAGGACTCGGCCACACCTGCCTAAATCCCCTCAGTTATACTGTTTTGGATGTTATTTGGATTGTTTCAAAATAACATGAGTTCACATGATGCATGGCTAACACTGGTTCATTTGCCCCAGCAATCAGTTTATTTCCTCCTCACCAGGAGGCTGGTTTTAAACTGTACTGATGATGAATCACGTCATTCCTTCTCATTTCAGCCTCTGTGAACATTGATGATGATATATTTCCTTGCATTAATCTGCAATAGAGATCAGCTGATGGCCTTATTGACCTCTGCATACGGAAACAATTTACTATGAAGAGCAATGAACTAGAAGGTGGCACTTCAGAATGTACCACTTAGTTTTGAGATACATAGCCTAAGCTCCAGAATATGTAAAACAAATTCCTATCAATCAAAACTCATGTTCTCTGAGATGAGCTATTGCTCTTTTCACATGCAGCGCTTGGGACATAAACACAGGTTTTGGGAAAGCGAGGTTTTTGAACTACGACTCTCCAAATCTCTCAGCCATCATGGCTAGTGGCCATGTTAGTCAAGGGATTGAGGAGTCCAAAATAATTCAGCTTTCCCAAGCCCTGCATAAACATATGTAGGGTTTCCATCATCTCTTTGACCTTTGCTCATTGATTTTATTTAAAGCACAATTACTGATCATGTAACAAAAAAAGGAAATCTTAAGGAGAAGCATTTGTAACATGAAGGAGCATTTTGGAAAATATTGGATCTACGTTTGCCTTTCAAAACAGACCTCCTATATGAAAAGCCAGGGTAGTCCGACGATGTTAATCAGCAGTGGATTCAAAACGAACCAGAAAAAGCGTATTTTCTTCACTCAACCAGAGCTTGGAATATTATTTTTTTTAAAAGGTCTTGTGGGCAGGTTGTCATTATCACTGTTATTGCTCTGTGTGTCTTTATTAGCAAGCCATGTAGGATGTGACCAGTCTGAACGCTTTTAATACTATTTCCTATCAGTTAGAGAGGGCAGTGGGACTTGTGCCATTGTATGGCGTGGAGGGCTACTAATGATGGGCAGACACACAAGCAAAAGTGGGTATTCATACAGAGGGAAGGAGGAAGAAAGGGAAATACACTAACACAGACACAGAAGCTGACAGGCAGGCAGCCATTCACACATGCCCACATACAGAATATGTCTGCCTTGGTTAGAAGGTGATCAGGATTGTTGTGGCTGGGAGTAGCATGAACTTTGGGTGGGGCAGTGACCCAGTTTCCAGGATGGAATACCCAGTCCTGGGAAAGGAGCAACAGTAGGGGACGGCTTTTGCTTTTATATCTAGTTTCTGTGCTTCAAATATCTATCAGGCCGTGTGTGAAACAGAATAGTGGCTTACATGGATTTCAGTCTGATATACCCAGCCTGTTGTTTTTTTAACACCCTTAAAAGCACATATGTAAAAGCACTGAAACTAAAGTGACCTTGTTTGGCCTTGTTGTGTGTTAGAGGAAATGAATTAACATTTTCATTCTAGCATGTTTTTCCAGACTCTGTGGCAGACGAAGAACAATGAGATTCGAGTTCGAATCTCTGGTCAACCATGACGCTCACTAGGCAGCCTGGGGCCAGTCAGCTTAATGTGCTTGAGAGGGATGCTGGTTGAATAAATCTTGCATGCCGTCCTGAGCTCCTTCTTTGAAGGCCTGTATTAAAATGATAATAGCACTAATACGAATATTAATAATATTGACAATGGGAGAAAAAATGCTTCAACTTCAAAGTATAAATGCCATTTTACTTATTTCATAGCAAGCAGATCAGAGTCTTAGATCTCAAACTGATTTGTGGATCCTTAAATCCATTTGCTTTGTGTAAGGATTTAGGATCTGATGGGAAAATCTATTTTCAAGTAATGGCTAATTTACACTTGTCTCTTTCTCCTTTTTTCTTGAAGCCCCAACTCCAACGGTTTTCCTTATCCTTGCTGCAAGTTCAACCTTCATCGTCATCCTTGCTATTGCTCTGTCAGCCAAGTCACCAGTGCTAAAACGGTAAAAGTCAACACTTGAAACTGGGCTTCTATGCAGCCTCTTAGCCCTCTTGACCCCCAGCACACACTGCTTTCATATAATCATAGAATAATGGAGTTGGAAGGGACCTAGAAGACCATCAAGTCCAACTCCCTGCTCAATGCAGGAATCCAAATAATAATAATTAAAAAAACAATCTGAAAAATGTATTCATGAAGGCTTTCACGGCTGGGATCTAATGGTTGTTGTGGGCTTTTCGGGCTCTTTGGCCATGTTCTGAAGGTTGTCCTTCCTAACATTTCACCAATCTCTGTGGCCGGCATCTTCAGAGGAGAGGACTCTGTGCTCTCGTGCTGTTGGTTTGGGAGGTGACTATTTTTGGTTGTGAGATCAGCTTATGTCCTTTTCAAGCGATGGGTGATTATGGTGACCAGTGTGTTTTTGTTGTGGATGTATTGCTGCGATAAGGAGGAGAGATTACCTGTCACTGTGATTGATGGATGTCGTTAACTGGTCTTTTGTGTGTAGTGATCACTGGTCCTTGTGGCTGGGTAGAGTTTGTTGAACTTTTGCATACTGTATTTTTCAGTGCTGGGAGCCAAGTTTTGTTGAGTTTCAAACTTTCCTCTTTTTTGTTGAAGTTCTGTTGATGTTTGTGGATTTCAATGGCCTCCCTGTGCCAGAAAAAAACAGAAAAATCAGCAGTAGCTGAGGATGCCCTAAAAGAAGCTGGACATGAAATTCTATTCCAAAATATTGAAATACTGGACAACACCAGCAATCATTGCGTTAGACTACACAGGGAAGCCATTGAAATCCACAAACATCAACAGAACTTCAACAAAAAAGAAGAAACACTGAAACCTCCTTTCATGGAGAAAGGTGAAAATAATGAAATTTGAGGGCTGGTTTTGACACATCACTAAAAAGAAGAGTTGCCCACTATGGCGGTATTGGGCTGGTATTCCTCTATCTGTTCTTATGATTGATAATTAACATTTTCCAAACTCATAGTTACTTTTTATTCTCTTGCAAACTCTGGATGCTACAGTTTGAAGAACATGCTGAAGATTCATTTACCAAATCCAGATGAATTCTTCCCATCTCTCAATGCTGTCCATGGAGGAGATGTTCAGGTATGAGAAGTAGGAGGTAGGGGAGCTGGAAAAACTGCTTGGTCTAAATTTTAAGTGAACTGACCAAAACTGCAGCCCCCAGACTAATGTCAAGGAAACTATCCTTCAGATTCTGCAGTTCTCCAAATTTTACAATGCAGTTCTTGGCAAAAAGAATCATGTACTGTATTTATTTATTTATTTGATTTGTACCCCGCCTATCTAGACTACCAGACCACTCTAGGCGGCTAGACTATTGTATAAAACCATGTACGTCAAAGAGAGTTACATACAAAGAAGTACACATGCAGGAAAGTTACAGTTATATACAAAACTGCATATGATAAGCATTTCTGAAATGCAGCACTGTAGGCTTTGGCCCTTATAAATACGTTCATCAAACAGGAATGGGCAACAGATTATGTCTGGTCTGTGTTAGTTTGGCAAGTAAGTATACTGTATCTGTGAAGATTCTCAGTCATTCAGGCAAGGTTATCTGGAAGTTGAATCATGGCAACTGGACTTCTTTCTTATTAGATTGAAACATTTCGCTACTCATCCAGTTAGCTTCTTCAGTCTGAGGAGAGTTGGTAGGAGACCCCTGATATAGCCTCCAGGTTGTTTCTATGTGGAAATTTTATATGACCTATATGGCATATAGAAAATCCCTCACTCAACAGGGGTGGAGGCTTTAGATACAATCTGTCTCCTATTTATCATGCTGCCCTTTCATCTGTCCCCAGAAAGATTAGGACCACACCCACCAGAAAGACCACAGTTAATTACTGTTAACAACAGTCATGATGGACTAGCCAATCCTGGCAGAAGGTGGGATGATGGGCTTCTCTGCCAGGTCGCAGAGTGGCTAATCCATCACTAGCAATGGAGAGATAGGAGGGGATCATGGAGTTCGCAGCAGCGGCGGACAGGTGGGTGGGTGGTCTGGCCCCAGGGGGCCGAAGCCTTGTTATCTGCGCCTGTGGGGGGGGGGATATTCGTATACAAATACGAATACCCCCATCTCTATTAATGACCCACAATGTGGAGAAGTACTGCAGAAGTGGGATTATCTCTCACTCCCAGTCCTTTGTCCTAATAAGCCTATTCAGACCAGGGGGAAGTGAAGCCAACATGGAGGATATCTCAGGGACCTCCTACCAACTCTCCTCTGACTGAAGAAGCTACTTGGATGAGTAATAAAATGTTTCAACTTAATAAGAAAGAAATCCAGTTGCCATGGCTTAGCTTCCAGATTTGGCAAGTAAGGTTATTCCATTCTGTTTCTGCATAATTCTAGTATATATGTTGGGGGGGGGGAGGGAATCCGTGATAATCAAGATGCTTTTTATATTTACTGAATAAGTTGCAGCTAATGTAGGCCTGTCAAATCAATGGAAGTTATATAGACGTTGACTCAACAGATCCCCACTAATTCAATGGACCTAGCGTAGTTGTGACGTACTACTGGATTTCAGACATTTTATATTGAAATACACATTTTGGACCTGGTTTCGGCCATTTTTAAAGCTGCAAAGTGCAAATTTGGAAAATCAGTCAAATTGCAATATGTGTTATAATTCACATATTAGTTCATCTTACTTCTAAATGTAGAAAGAACAGGAACCCATATTTACATACTGTTTATTTGGGGACACATGACCATCTATGATGAACATGATAGCAAGAATTGGTAAGAACCAAAGGCAGTTGTCACTCAGAAGCCTTTCAAGTGGCCACCAAAGTGTAGATTAATGTTGCCAGTCTCAGGGCACCAGCTAAAGTCTCAGGGAATTACTCACCAGTGACGGAGAAGATGCTGGTGAAGTGGCTCTACAGCAGGGGTAAATAACTTCCAGAGAGCCACAGGTGGTAT